GAGTAAACAATAGGCTATAATGCAGTTGTAAGCAGATCTATGTTCATTCATGTATCTGTCTAAACATAAAACTCGTATTTTTAGCCTTAGGTGTATAAACAGGTGATGACAGATACTATAATAAAACACAGGAGATTTATCTCCAGATGATTGATTTGTTTTGAATTACTGCGTGTGCTCCAGGCCCGTAAAGCTCTCATCCTGCTGCTCTGTGGAGGACGTCCTTTCTCCTGGCTGATCCACATCGTCGCCACTTTCACCGTCCTGGGTGTGGTGCTGATGCTGGCCATCTTTGTACCTGATATCAGAAATGTGTTTGGAGTAGTGGGTACGTGGTGTTTTTGAAATATAAATATAGACTGCTTTGTTAATAAGTCATATGATTAATCTTTTTCTATTTAAACACGGTTATTTAGAGCAAATGTGACTACTTGAATGTTCTTAACTGTTTGTAACTGCAGCAGACGATAGAAGCAGCCGAGATCTCAGCAAAGACGTCAATATTCTACAATTATTGATCGTGGTGGCTAAAATCACAGTATCTGCTCATACATCATTAATGGTGCAGTCCTGCTGAAACAGTTTATGGAGCCGCTATCTGTCATCTGTGTGAGTCAAAGGTTTTTCCTCTTTCCCCCCTCAGGATCGACAACATCCAGCTGTCTGTTGTTTATCTTCCCTGGAATCTTCTACCTGAGGATGAGCAGACAACCGCTCAGATCCTTTGACTCCATCGGGGTAAAAACATACTCAGTCTATATCTTAATTACTGTTGAGATTGAGCCACTTTGAGTATATTTTGTTCAATTTTAAGCATTTCTGTTTAAGAGCTGTTGTGTTTTGTGCTCTTTGTGTTTCCAGGCTGTGATGTTGATGGTGTTCGGCTTAATTATGGGACTCACCAGCTTCTCAGTCATCGTCATTACGTGGGCACAGAGCTCCTAACCCCCACTCGCAAGTGTATGAGCAATGAAAGGGAAAAAAAAACGTGCCAAAAAATCCAAGTACTGAATATCAGAAGATGCTTATGTTTATTATACAGTTGACCTGAGGTTTTACTGACCAAACATCAGATTCATCTTAATTTTTTTTTATGTGGCTGAAACGAAGATGACAGATGGATAACATTTACTCCGAGTTGCCCGTTACCTATTCTTGTTTTCTTTTTTTAACTTGCTGACAGCCAGTGTGTTTATCTATGTGGGTGATCATGCACCTTATCTTTACAATCTCTGTACATATGTGTGAAAATGTTTTGTCTGAACCATAAATGTGTCAAGTTTACTTCTCGCTTAGATTTTTGCAGATAACAATGGCTTATTAACTTCACCGGATTTATGGCTACGTCTTTTTATTTTGTTCACTTTAAGCTCTTCAGCTTTTTTATGTTTTTAATCCGTGTGTTGATTTGCCACTCCACTTAAAAACCTTCAGATCTCAGGTTTAAATGGTTCTGCTGCTACTTTGTATGCTCTATAAACGAGTTTGTTTGGACCAGTTAATTATTATATACTCCATGTGGTTATAATGTAATATCATGTCATCCTTCATATTTGGGGCATGTAATAAAAGGGAAATTGTTTCTTCACTGATATGTCAGTTTGCTCATTTAACCACTAAAAGACGTCTTTATCACTGTTGTGGAAAACTCATGCGTCTATCATGTCACAGTCGTGGCTGTGTGTTTGATTGACAGGCGCAGTATTGACATTGAGACCCACTCCTCAGTGTTGTGATGTGTGTTCAGCCTGTAGCTAATGAAAGCCACATGCTCAGTCCGTTTCCAATCATGATGCTGTTTAGATTGTCTTCATGCTGCCTCTGGAACCTGTGTCCACCCAACTGCTGCTTTTAATCTAAGGAATCAGGCCGACCGGTCCCCCGCCCACTTAGGGGAGGTTCCCCCAGTTCAGGAAATATCCCCGGCCTCAATCCACTGCTCCAGAAGATGCTCCTATGAATAAAGTAAGTGCACACAACTACACATTAACACTGAATATGTAAAGTGTGTGGGTTTAGTCAATGATGGAGGACGGACTCGGATCCTTAATTTAAGTACCAATACATGTCAAAATACTTTATTACAGATCCTGCAGTCAAACCTATGCTTAAGTAAAAGTACAGCAGTATTTAATAAAATATACATACATACTATTAGACAGTTAATACTTATGCATCTGTTGTAGGATGCATGTTCCTGTTGTCAAAGCGTGGCTAGTTTTTCTGATCTACTAGTTCAGTTATTCAGTGGTTCCCCCTCCAGGCCAAACTCCTGAAGGGTCAGGAGATGATTAATGGGGTAGGGATGTCTGACACACACACACACACACACACACACACACACACACACACACACACACACNCACACACACACACACACACACACACACACACACACACACACACACACATTTGACTGTAATCAATTTCCTGGTGACTTATCCTAACTTTAACCATTTTCCACAATTGACTCTTCAACAAATGTGCATCCCAACAACATGACTAATACCTGGACCACACACACACACACACACTCATACACTTTCTCTCTCAAATTGTCTTGTGAAATCTTTTGATAGTTCTTCATGTTTGAAACCTCAAACAGTGAAACCATCTGACAACACACAAACTACACAGATGTGTATAGTATGGCAGCATTGGTTTAACAATGCCTTGTAGTTGTTATTGTTTTCATACAGGATCTTTTTAATGTAAAAATGAAACCTGAAAGTTACTCGTGTGTCCCAGCAGCCACCATCAGCTGTCTGTTACCAGTAAAAACCCTCTGACTCTCCCACACACACTGTCCCCTGAGCTGATTCCTTATGTAGCACAAGATCACCATCTAGTGTCAGACTGTGTTCACAGCAGCCCCTATATTCCTCATTTCATAGACATTCCTCTTTGGGTTTATTAAAGCCTAACTAGGAAGAGATAACCAGATGCTCCACTTTTCTCCCACTTTTATCATGTGTTGGAAAAATGCACGTTAACACAGAGCAGAGCTGTTCTTCTGGAGGTCTCACTGAGGTATGGGTCCTCTGCTCGGGGTGGGAGTGTTTTTGTTTAGTTAAACTCACTCACACCCTGGGCCCACGTCCAGCAGTATGACAACACCATCTCCCAGGGTTAAAGGATGGAAGGAGGCGGAGGAGCGGTGGTGGACTGAAATTAAAACCCTGCTGGCTGCCTCTGCTCTTTTATTGTTTTAAGAGGTGTTGCCTGTGTTCTTTGAAAATTATTTTCTGTTTTTGGAAATCAGGAGTTTTGAGTAACAGCTGGGTCTTATCTGAATGTCCACACTTTGACCTTTGACATAGTTTCCTTCTTTATTATTATTATTTTCTAAAGGAGCTGCCATCTAGGATTAGATCAGTTGTGAGTACATATACCATGGAGAACTTCTGCAGCTGCCAGGGGTTAAAAATTGAATCCAACTAAAATGTGATTTTTCATGATTTGATTCGACATATATCCAAATATTTGTGTAAAGAGGAGGTACAGTTGATAATAAAATGGTTTTCATGGTCTTGTGCAACTAGAACAGCACCTCCTCCAAAGAATCCTGCACTTGATTGTCCAGTTCTTAAAGAAGTGGTCTGGCAGCTTAAATGATTTATTTGCCATAAAATATAGTCAAAGAAAGTGGAGAAAAAAACTGAATGGATCCCCTCTTAATCTGGAAATGCATCAAACCTTCCAGGCCCCTGTGGAGAATCGGTGCACAAATCACAAAATCTTTCCCACCATCTTTGATGGCAGCAGGTCTCAACAAAATAAATCCACAATCTTGCATTTGTTTTTCCAATTCTGCCTTTTGAAATCCATGAAAATGTTCTGAGTCTCAGTTGCTTGTGTTGAAATGAATGACTAAAAGTAGAATACATTCTAAAGTAGGCCTAATTGATAGACAGATGAAAATAGTGGTAGGCAAATGAATACATGCTTGAAATGGCAAAGTAAAATTAATAAGTGTTATGAATAAACAATTAGCTGCAATAGATGAAAGTCATGGTAAATGTTTGATGCATGAGTTTAATCACCTGGTGACCACCTCCATGTGATAGTAGTACAAATGCCAACTTGACCAATCTATACAATTTAACTGTGGAATAAAAGTTAGTAAATGTATATTTGAAATGCACTTTTCTAGTCTTTTTTGACCTGTCAAAGCACTTTACAGTACAGTTTTGCTATTCATCCATTCACACACACTTTCATACATGTGTTATGTGTTCTATGTGCAGCATTTTCTATATCATACATGTCTCATATACTGTCAGCACAGCCATCAGGGGCAGTTTGGAGTTCATTATCCAAGGACTCTGTAGCACGTGGAATGGGGGAGACTGGGTTCAAGCTGCTGACCTTCTGGTCATTGGACACCCCTCTCTACCCCCTCAACCACAGCTTCCCAAAAATAAAGTAGCAATATCCACCAATAAATAGTTTTAAATAGCATTCAGTTGATTCATTAATAAGAATATAGGCGTGGATAATTTAAATGTGTTACATATGATTTTTTTTTATTGAAGCCATTGGATGAGATGAGCATCCAAAAGTCTAAACAGCTCAGTTTGACTTTGTGGTGAGTCAGTACAGTGTTCCACTTCCTGTTTGTGTTCAAGGAACAACATCAGAGCAACATACCATCACAGGTAGTGGACATCAGAGAATAAAGCCGAGCTGAGAACAGGCACATCTGCTCTGTGTTTACCCACATGACCTTGTTCAACAGGCATTCCTCGCTGCTTCATGCGTCTTTGCACACATGCATTTCAATGCTGGCTGGCATGATGAGTGGTTCTGTTAGTCATGGTGGTGGACTGCAACTCGGCAAAGGCCATCAATACACAAGTGTCATCGCTGATGAAGTGCTCTCCATCTAATTTTTCTTCTCTTCTTCCAGTCTGTCCTTTCTCCCCGTCTGCTATAGCTTCATGCTGCTTTTCTGTCTGTAATGGATTTCCATGCTCGATCAGTAAACATGCTCCTTGTGTCACAGTAAGAGCATTCCTCCGTCTTGCTTTGAGGACTCTTTCTCAGACAGCAGATGCTCTGGTCACAGTAGAACTTACTCTTTTTACAATCAGATTTCCTCTTTAGAAACTGTATCGCTAAAAGCCCCAGGATGAAATACAGAGGACATTCAGCAAACAAGTCATGTTTGCAACACCCAAAGGAAAAGGAATTATCTTGTACAATAACATCTCAACAGGCGACTTATCTTCACTGCTTCTTTTCAAGACTCCACATTGTCGACTTCCTCTGCTTTCTATCCAGCGTGTCTCAGACATTTTATTTCATCTTTTATTTAATCAGACAGTCTCATCGAGGTTTTCCATCCCTTGTTTTAGAGAAACCTGAGAACAGGGGACATTTACAATCAGCAAGTAATTACAGCACAACAAAAAATCAGTACATAAAGGTGACACAATAAGGACTTCATTAAAACAATTACAAGAATCATGAAAAAAATCAGATGACACAATCTCTCTATTACACCTCCTTCGAGGGTCGCGGGTGGAGCTGGAGTCAATCCAAGCTGACACTGGGCGAGAGGTGGTCTTTACCCTGGACAGGTCACCAGCGTATTGTAACATACAGCGACAACCTTCCACACTCACAATCACACATCTGGTCAGTCTGCACTCCCCTGTCTGCATGTCTTTGGACTGTGGGAGGAAGCCGGACATGGGGAGAACATGCCAGCTCCACACAGGCCGAACTAGAATCGAAAGTGGAGCCCTTTTGCTGTGAGGTGACAATGCCAACCACTGCTCTTTAAAATCATAAAGGGAAAAGCATGACTGCAGTTGTAGGAAAGATAGAAGCTCATTCAATTCAAAATGTGCATAAAACTTGAACCCAGTGAAGAGAGTCTTCATGTCCCCTTTGAACGTCACACAACCACAGTTCCTTCAAAACCACTGAAAACTCCAGTCCTGAACATCCTGAACAACTGTGTGCACCAAACATGTTGCTGTGTTGAATTGTGTGCCGTGAAACAGCATCCAGGGCAAAAACTACCTGAAACCCTCTTCACCTGTCAGTCCACAAACTGGCTCAACACAATAACAAAAACACAATGATGAGAAAAAAGAGCCTTGACTTATAGATTGCTGTCAACTCAGTCACAGAGACATAATAAACCGTGATGGGAGATAGCAGAGGTTTGAATTTTCAGGGGCAGTGATCAAGAGTGAAACCCACCTTCTGTAAATAAACAAGACGGACTTCAAGGTGTTTTTAGAAGTACGGCAGAGTGGTGCTATTTGGTCAGATGATGAGCAGGGGTCCAGAGGTATTGATAGAGGTGCTGTGGTCAGCGGCACAGTATGGGGCTCAGTGTTATTTGGGGGGTGAGCTTGTCTCTCTGCGATCCCATCAGCCCTTGGCTGAGCTCTTAATGCGGCCCTGACGCCTTGCTGGCGCAGGGGCCACGCTGCCGCACATCTGGAGCCAATTACCCTGGAGGGGCTGTGACAGAGCCCACCCCCCCAACACCACCACCACCACTCTGCATGCTCTGCTCTGCTGTCCAACACAGCTCCGACCACTCTCACATTCCTGCAGTTTTCACAACACCACC